CACGACGAAGTTGAACGAAGTGTAAAAACTCTCGAAGCAAAAGCTACTTCCGTTCAATACAAAAGAAGAATTGCGTCGTCTAGTAATGTTTCCTTTTTTCATAAGACAATGTTCTTATTATACGATCGGAAATAATTTTTATTGTTTTGTTTTAAATGTTAAGTAAAAGGTCAATAAAATAACAAGATTTTATTTCGGTTTCTTAAAAAAGTTAATCGGAATAACGTACGTATACGTGGAAGGGGTTAGCATTTTAAATAAATAGTAAATACTTAGTATAAAATGTTCATTTTTACACAAATTAATCTATATTGAGATAAAAGTTAATAATGATCTGCTTCAAAAACTAGTTTTAGGTTTACATCGTTGGCCAAATCTTAGACCAACGCTGGATACCGCCTTCCGACTAAGATTTCCGCTTTAGTATATTTTTAATTGGACTTCATATATAGGCATAATTAAACTTGATAAATTAATATTAAATAGGTAACACCCTAGTTTATTGCACAGAAATCTAAATAATAAGGAAATATTATTTAGACTTCTATGAAAATACTTTTGGTTGTTATGAAAATACTGAGTAGGTAAATAAGCTAATAGATGGCGTCGGGTGTACTAGAAATTTAGCTATAATTTGTTTTGAATTTTTACTCATACTTACTTATTAATTACAGTGCCATCTGCGGCGGAGTAACATAATTCAAAAACCCATTCCATGTTGTCAATGCCGTAAGCGGTGACTTAAGTGGACCAATAGATGGCGCTGTAACCACTATATGAGGAAATCTATGGTACTTTTCATTACAGTCTGGAATGAATTAATCAATTAAATGAATAACCATGTCTTATTTTTTTTAAAATTTGGTGTTAAGTGGTGATGAAGCCCCAGATGGTAAATTGAAAACAAATAAAACTTTTTTTTATTCATTCACTAAATACAGCCTATCTAAGGTCGACTACCGAAAATAGGCCTCCCCCATAGATTTACTCATTAGGGGATATTTGACATACCTACTTAGTTGACAAGCTTGGCAGGCGTCAAAGGAAGTTCTTTTTAAATTTATTTTGAACAGTTATCAGGATGAGGAGGAGGATGTTGCTGATCTTCAGTTTCAGTCTCCCTCAGTGCCCTTTTAAGCCACGGGCTTAAATGGTATTAGGTACCTACGGATTTTTGCGCTGCGAATACATGGAATTTTAATATGGTTTAATTAGTTAGATGGGAAGCAGCTTCAAAACCTGTGATATTGTTGTAACAATCTGGCCATCTAACTTAGCGACTATCGTAAATTCTCTATAGTAGGCAGTACTACGCATAATTTAATAATAGAAATATTCCGAAAACATCTGAAGTCCGCCAACAAGCTATGGATAAGACTAGTTGATCCCTGCTTACTACTAATTGCGTACTCTCTCAGAAGTTGCTTAACTTTACTTCCCTGAAATGAATATACTTATTCCCGGAATAACCCTGGACTTTGATCTAATGAATCATGGGTGATTAGGTCATCGTGCAGGGCTATTATAATTGATGAAGAGCCCGTTATCGTTACAGCCTAAAGTCCACTGTTGAACATAGGCCTCCTCTAGGCCTTCCCAGGCCTTGCCTCAATGGGGGGGGGGATATTTCCCAAAGTTGCCAAATTTGGCAAGCGAGTTGGCAACCGCAGTTTATTTTTATTTTTAGTCGTTATTAGTAAGACGCTGCTGTCTATCTCCTGATTTGTTTCCCACAGTCGCTTCTTACTACTCCTACGGGATGATATGGGGTAGTGGATATTCATATACAGCCACTGCATGGTCAATGATGAAGATTAGTACGATATAATGTGAGACTTCTACATAGTAGTGATGATTTTAGAATTTTAGCACCGAAAATACGAATTACGAAATCATAATTGCATTTCTCGGTTGCGAAAGGCAATCTATGGAAGGGGCCTATGTTCGGCTTCGGCAGTGAGCTTTTGATAGGCTGCGAAGGATGGATGATGATTGAATGAATTGTATCTAAGTATATCTAAGGATTCTTGTTTCTTGGTATAGTTAGTGACAATTTCTATTTCGTTATGTTCTGGTTATAATTGTCAGGTATATAAAAACACAGTATTTTTTTTTTAAATGTAAGCAATTTGAATTATTTTTATTAAATAGTTTGTTAGCGATGACGATCACGTCATGGGAATGATCCCAGGAGATATTGTGATTAATTTTTTTCTTAAAACGACATATCTTTTTAACCGGGAATTTAATATGTTGAGTACGTTTTCTGTTGCAGAGTTAGTGTCACTGCGCCTAGAGTTGCTCTTGGCGAAGAAGCGAGCATTTTATGTACTTAGGTAGGTAGCTTTTGAAATCTCCTTTTACTTCTGTTCCTATGACATCCCTCTTTTGTGTAACTCGTGGCTTACTGACAGGATACATCTTTTACTGAGAGGATAGTAAGGTTGTGTGAAATTCCTTCAAATGGAATTGCAATATAATTATTTTAAATAAATAAATAATTGAGTTTATCCTTTTTAATGATCTATTTATTGTTCTTAATCTTATTTCACGCTTTTTAGAAACGCTATTTAGATACCTATTTTTTTATAAAAATTCTGCCCCCCATAGATAGGTATGCATGTGATAGACTCAAGCTGCAACTGTATTATTATTGTATCACAAATGGGTCGGCTCGATCGGGGCAGGACCAAGTTCTCACAAAATACCAGCGTAAAATAGCAGGGTAACGCTGCTGCGTTTCGTATGATGAGTGTAGAGAACCGGAGACCCTTTTTACTGGAATCGAGGCATTCCATCTTAGCCCTCAGGGGTTGAAGATAAATCCACTTACCATCAGGTAGACAATGTGCTCGTTAGTCACCTTTGCTATAAAAAAATAGATTTTCCCTACATCGTGGAAGCATTTTACAAACATAATTTACCTGCTCATGGACAAGAACCAGGCCGGATACAATTATTATTTGTAAGCCATTTAAATAAAACTTCTGTGTTGAATTCGAATCCTGTCACAGAATACCAGCCACATGCTGGTAGGTAAATATTGTATTTCGTATGGTGAGTGTATGTACATACGGAACCGGAGAGCGGAGACCCTTTTTTACTGGTGACGCGGCATTCTATCTTAGTCCATAGGGATGACCCCGCTTTTACATTTTGATTTTTATTCGTGAATAGATGTAGACCACAGCATCCACTTACTCTCCGACGGACTGTGTCCACACTTGTCACCATTATTTTATAAAATAAAGAATTAAGAAAATGTACGCAATCGGCCTGCAAGTCTACTACTAGTTTTTGTTTAGGTACCGTTAAAAATATAAGAATTAATAAAAAAGAAGAAAGTTTTGGTTACTATAATATATATATATATATATATATATATATATATATATATATATATATATATATATATAATATATATATATGTATATATAAAATACCTTTATATACCTAAATCACTGACAGTTGCATTTTTTTCTTTGTATGCAGACCGATCAAAGTTGCAGAGAAGATTCAGAATAAGTAACATGAGCAAATGGTGAAGAAAAATAAATTTAAAAAATCTCAAACATTCTGTCCTTTTTAACTTTTAAATTCGAAATGCGCGGTAACTGGTAATGCATTAACTGATTTTACTGCGCACGCACACATTGTAAAGGTCGATCGATAGGCAAAAACATTGTTGGCCATAAATTACATTCCGATTGTAATGATTTCAAATAAAAGTAGAAGCCTCATTTACTCGTTTTTTCAAAAACTGCACCAATGTTATATCATTATTGATATATTTAAACTTAAGTATAAATATGGCTACTCTTTGAAAAATAATCCTGTACTTATATTGAAATTTATTTATACACTTAGATATTATAAATAATAAATAAAAAGATTAATTTTTATTAATTTAAGGAACCACAGAAAATGCCTTATGGGCGGCCCAAAAACGGACTGTAGGCTGGTCTCTAACCTACCAATACCAACCAATCCGCATTAGGCTTTTATGGTGGAGTGACTACGGTCGTTTATTTTTACCCTCATTCGTAAATAGGTCTGAGCTCAGTTCCTTTTGTGATTTATAGCCGGTTAACTTTGTTTTTTATAGCCGTTCTAATTGCTAAGCAGGGAGATTAAATTAGGGCGTTTACTTCGAAAAAATAAAAAAAAACGTTTAATTTCAGTTCAGAGGTGTGGCCTGACCTTACATCTACTTAAGTATTTTTATTTCTGTACATCGTCACTTTTTAAGCCTTGGTCACCATGAACCAGATTGCACATAATATAATGTTGTAGGATTATCCATTTTGTAATTTAAACAAAACTTTTTACTTATCACAGTGGGTACAAAGGTGTGTTGAGTTACTTATTCGTAAAGGTCTTACGCAATTTAACGACAGTTTTAGACGAATTTCCATTTTACCAAGATGGTTCTAACTAAACATCACAAAAGTATTCATGAGATACATTTTTTTAAAAGTTGTGTTGCATAGGAATTACCTATATTGGTTTCACTGAGACTGACTTGGAGAAAATGGAGAAACAGATTTGGTATGGAATAAAATCTCTTTTTCCCGTTTTCTCTATCGCGCAATAATTCGCGAAAATCTGGTGTATAGATGGCTCGTCAGCATCACTATCAAGTAGAGTTTGTAGTGCTGCTTACCTGATAGTGGCGCTTTTATTATGAAGGACATTCCTTTTCTACATGTACTTAGGTACCCATGTACACCTATACATCAAAGGTTTATTTATACACTCAACTTTATAATACAAATTAGATGTATAAATAATTAGGTACTTAATTTCTTTTAAAAAGAAAAGAAAATACCTAATAATAACAAGACCGCTCTAGATTCCATGTTTTGTAATTGTGAAACATACTATACTGCTATAGAACAACAAAACGTAGGTACCAACTCGCATTACTCTTTCAAACTGGGTGCAAAAAAAACAAATCTAGGTACAGAAAAAGTTCCAATTCGGATCATTCGAATTTCAAAATGCCGAACGAAAATGTCCCTTCACACGCAGCTGCGTTGGCCAAGGTCAGTGCTATTGTACCCGCGGAGGGCAATGCTCAAACTACGTACGGCGAAAAATATACGCACTCACACAAGCATGTGTACGCGCAGCGGTGGCGTCAGTGTTGTCCAAAGAGTATAACCATAACCATACCAAGTGCGGTCGTGCTTGCAGCCAACGAAAAAGTATCCGAATTGCACGCCCAAAGAGGGCGCGAATGAGAATCGAAATTCGGCAGTATTTTAATTGTTTTTTTGACATATTTTCCGTCTATTTCAGTAGCTGAAAGTGTCGTACGTTTAACGCTGCTCTTCGTCACCGTTATCTTGTAGCTAACGGGTTTCTCAACAAGAACTTTGTTTTTCAATTGGGGCAACACCAACAACATGACAGTTTTGACATTTAGTTTTTTGACCTATTCGTAGTAGATGCTTTGGCAATTACTACAATGAATTCAATTTCGCTCGAAAATCGCATTAAAATAATTAAAATCCACTATGAAAATGGTGGTTCTGTTAAAGTTACGTTTCGTAAAATTCGTGATATTTTCGGACAACATAATCGTCCTTCTGAGACCGCTATTAAGAATTTGGTCGCTAAATTTGAATCGACAGGCTCGGTACAAAATGTGCCAACACCAACGCGTATTCGACCGGGTCGTTCAACCGAAAACATCGCAGCCGTGAGCCACAGTGTTGAAGAAGATCCAAATTTGTCAATTCCTCGACTTTCTCAACAATTGGGGTTATCCAAAACCACCACATGGCGAATTTTGCGTAAGAATTTGGCTTTGAAGCCTTACAAGGTACAACTGGTGCAGGAATTGAAACTGACCGACCATTCACATCGCCGTAGATTCGCTCAATCCATTCAGAAACAGCCCGCTGGTTTTTCTGAAAAAATAATTTTTTCAGACGAAGCCCATTTTCACTTGTCAGGGTACGTCAACAAGCAAAATTGCCGCATTTGGGCTTCTGAAAATCCTAAAGCGATTATTGAGAAGCCTTTGCATGCTCAACGTGTCACTGTATGGTGCGCTATGTGGTCTGGAGGCGTGATTGGGCCGTTTTTTTTCGAAGATGAGGCTGGAAATGCGGTAATGGTCAATGGATCACGCTATTGCGAGATGTTAACATTTCAATTTTGGCCTATTATTGATGACATCGATATCACAAACATGTGGTTTCAACAGGACGGTGCCACATGTCACACAGCCAACGAAACGATCAATTTATTGCAAACCAAATTTCCCGATCGCATAATTTCACGAAATTCAGATGTTAAATGGCCAGTCAGATCGTGTGATTTAACACCACTGGATTATTTTTTGTGGGGCTATGTTAAGGACAGAGTCTATACGGAGCCAATCAAATCGATCGCGGCCTTAAAACTCAAAATCCGTGACGTGGTTAACGAAATAAAGCCGCCATTTTTCCAAAAAGTGATTAAAAACTTTGATGAAAGAATCGACATCTGTCAGCGTGGTCGTGGTGGACATTTGCCAGATATCATTTTTCATTCATAATTGCCAAACTTTTCTCTTCGTAATACAATAAAAATTTGAATCATCTTCATCTAAACTCTTTGTTTTATTTTGTTTTAGAAAACAAAGTTCTTGTTGAAAAACCCATTATATTATAGTTGCAGCATGAATGCGTTGTCTCGGCCCGGGAAGGACCACGCTCGCACAGAATACAACCGTTAAATAGCAGCGTAATGCTGCTGTGTTTCGTACAGTAAGTATAGAGAACCGTTGACCCTTTTTACTGGTGACGAGGTATTCACTAATATTTATTCCAATAGATTATTTCTTTATTCGAACAAATATTCATTCACAACAACGTGTGTACTCCGTTATGTTTTGCTTAAGGTATCGATTAAGCTGATAAATCTTTAAAAAAAATTACGTATAGGAGTGTTTTGTATTACGAATCACAGTAAAGATTCGAGATAAAATATTTTCGTATAAGTACTTTATTTTTATGCAAAAGTATTAAGTACGTTAATCAAAAATAAAGTGGGACACGTTATTTATTATAAAGTGTGGTTGACAACCCTAGAAATAGGTGTTGTAGTGTGTACTGGTGTCTCTCCCTTGTTCTATTAAAAAAAAAACGGTCAAGGTCTTACATTCGGCACAATGTAGATGGTACACCGCCATCACAGGTCTATTTCGTCCACCAGTCGCCCCACCAGATGAAACGTAGTGTTGGATTATTTTAGGTACGCGAGGTCGCCTTTATGGGTATATTAAGATACCGCAATACAGCGTTATATAATGGGTGTCTATATGTAACAGAACATTAGATTTCTGGTGTTTGTCCTCTGTTCAATCAATGCTTTTCAAATAATCTATTTCTCAGGGTTTTCAATTTCATACCTACGTAGGATTTTGATTTGTAGCGTAAAATAGCATGATGCTATTTCGTACAATTTGTAAAGTCAATCTGAACGAGAACCTATATTTCTTATAAAAATAGGCCTTACAAAACGGAAAAGAGATCGGAGATTAAGGATCTGAGAGCGTATTATTTATTTGGGTAATATCTGCGATACTTGTTCTTTGGTAAATGCACTTACAAACAAAAGTACGACAAGCGGCCAAAGTACCCGAATTGCATGCCGAACTCACACAGAAACAAGCACACGAACACACCGACAGTAAGTCAAGAGCAACAGGGTAAGGTCATGGTTACTCTTTCGGCCGCTGATTCGGCTGTTTTCGGGAGACTTCGTCGCCTGCGCTCGAGAGTTCGGTGATTTTTCTTTTTTAAGGTGCACCGATTCAGGTCTCCTTTGTGTTGCATTATTTGACGTAATAAAGGTACATAATAATATACTACATATATACTGTTTTGTTTTCACTTTCGGTACACACATCTCTTTATTCTTGTTACTTACGCAATTTTCTGCTAAAATTTATACAGTATGCTGCAATTTAGAATGGCTTAATCGATCAAATTTTATTTTTATTCATCTACCCCTTTGTTATCGATATTCTATGCATTTGAACCAAACAGTTCATCTTTCGTGATGCGAACAGCAAATTAGTGAAATATGACTTGCTGCCGTTTGTCTTTTCCGTCCGATTACAATCTGGACGTCTTCAAGGCAAACGCGGGACTATGGTCAACTGTATGTGTCTAAAGTGTGTACCTATTATAATAATATTTAACATATAGAATATTAAGTATTTTTTATATACTTTTGGCAGAACCTAACTCAGGCGGACTATTGCTTCTGTTTATATCGTTTAAAAATAGTTTGAAGTGGATTTTAATACATGAAAGTCGTCTGCGCATGTGAACTAGGTATAAGCACAGAATAAATAATAGTACCTAATCCTACGTAGTATAAGTGGAAACGACGAAACAAATGCTTCGGTGTTGATATCAGTCAAGTTATTTTGTTCTCATTAGATTTACTTATTCTATATTCTTTTTGATTAATTCCTAATCAACATTATATTTTATGAAATTTTATTAGTAATAAATACCTGCGGGTAATAAGGACTAGCTAAGGGAAATTCGAAAAAAAGTGAGAATTATCCAATTTGGTCTACAGATATTAATACATAGATCATTGGCTTAGTACCTACCTATAGTTTCTGTAAAGTGTGAACGCAAAATTGTAACATTTGCCATAAAGAAAAACAAAATTAAACATTACTAAAAATCTTGCAAGTTGGCCTTATTTTACTATAGTGGTATAAGCATACTAGTTTAACTATAGAATAAACAATAGCTTTATGAACTCAAATAATCGAACTATACATATTCCAATATTTGTAATCAATAATCACATGAATGCAGCAATTAAGACACAAAGTTCTAAAAAAATATAAATTTCCCCGACTAACAACACTTAAAGTATGGTATAATAATGACGAACAAACTGACAAACAAACGCACTCCTTGTGATTATCATCAGTGCGTCGGTCGTGTCTCGAGTTGAGATGAGTGTTAGGTTGAGTTGATTGTTGGGTTGATTGTCAGCGGCCAGTCTCCACGGAGACTAGTCCGAATATATACGCAAGCACAGATGCACTCTGTATCACCTCACAAACATCAAATTGCAATCCGACACGGTTCCGAGAGAGCTTAAGCGTTGTACTAATAATTTACCTACACATAATTTAATAGCTTAAGTCTTAATTCTTCAACACATTTTGTCTTTGAACTGTATTGATAGCTGAAACCAGGTTGTTTTCTGACTATGACATTAGTTTAGTAATAAAAGAGTATGATTTATTTGAAATAATAACATTTTAAAAGTTTTATAAAATACATTATAAAACCGAAAAAACTACACACGAGGAGGGAGTATATTAAAGCCTATGGTGAAATTTTGGAGGCCTAAATAACCGCTGACCAAGTATTAAAAAAAAAACAAATTAAAAAAAATTGACGACGTTACATTATTCAAATCTATTATTATTTCCATTTCCGTAGAAATGCTCACTTAGCTTTATGTGGCTTTATGATACCAAGTTACATAGGTAGTTATTTTCGAAATGAATTACCTAACATATAATAGTTTTACAAAATTATTGCTAATATAATAAATAATAAAATGGATATAGGTAAGTGGTAAAAGTACTATAGTTTTTAATGTTATGAATGGATATGAAGTCCAATAAAGTTTGTACAAAAGGAGCGTAAACTAAATTTAACAAAGACTTAAGATTAATAGGACGATCTTAGGTATTTTAGTCATAAAAATAACGTTTGAAGTTTAGAAGCTAAGTGACGTCACAGAAATTATTTGATAAACATAATGAATGAATGAATATTCTTCTTTTGAAAATCTTTGGTGTGTTTGTCGCTTCTTTTTATATATTTTTTTTGTGCTTATACTTTATATTTGTTCGAAATTAATATTTTGCTATTTTTTGTTGTTGCCTATATTTCGGTGCCAAATAGAATATTAACTATGGCTTAAAGGACAAACATCCAAGCCAAAACTTAAAAAATATGTTTATTTGTCATATTAAATCTTATTTTCTTATTTTTTTTTCATAGAGCTGCCTGTGCTTTAGAGTAAATTACATACATAGGTATAAATACATCTTCATTATAATTGTGAATCCGTCAATTATTTTAAAAGAGAGAGAGCAGCAGGCGGACTTTTCCTGCTCTATCACCCTTTTTATAACCTGCGACCAGCATTTATTACTTTATTTAGAATCGACATAATTTAACTTCTTTGTTAATTTTCTATC